GGGGGAGGGGGGAGGGATGGCATTGGGAGTTATACCTGATGTATATGACGAGTTGATAGGTGCTGACGAGTTGATGGGTGCAGCACACCTACATGGCACAAGTATACATATGTAACAAACCTGCACATTGTGCACATGTACCCTAGAACTTAAAAGTATAATAAAAAATAAATAAATAACGTGAATAGAATTAAAGTTTTAGGCTGAGCACGGTGACTCACGCCTGTAATCCCAGCACTTTGGGAGGCCAAGGCTGGCGGATCAAGAGGTCAGGAGTTCAAGACCAGCCTGGCCAACATGGTGAAACTCCATCTCTACAAAAATACAAAAAAAAAAAAAAAAAAAAAATTCAATGTATGTTCTTGTCGATTTTGTCAAAGATCAATTGGCTATAAATATGTGGCTTTATTTCCGGGTTCTCTATTATGTTCCATTGGTTTATGTGTTTGTTTTTTATATGAGTACCATCATGATTTTGTTACTGTAGCCTTATAATATAATTTGAAGTCAAGTAATGTGATGCTTCCAGCTTTGTTCTTTTTGCTTAGAATCGCTTTTGCTATTAGGGCTCTTTTTGGTTCCATGTGACTTTTAGGATTGTTTTTCCTAATTCTGTGGAAAAATGATATTGGCATTTTGACAGGAACTGCATTGAATCTGCAGATTGCTTTGGGCAGTATGGGAAAGGACACCCTTTTCAATAAATGGTGCTGGTAAATTGGATTGCCATATGCCGAAGAATGAAACTGGACCCATATTTATCACCATATACAAAAATTAACTCAAGATCGATTATAGACTTAAATGTAAGATCTGAAACTATAAAAATACTAGAAAAAAAAACCTAGGGAAAACTTTTATGGAAATGGGTATAAACAAAGAATGGCAAAGACCTCAAAAGCGTAGGCAACAACACCAAAAACAGACAAATGAGACTTTATCAAACTAAAAAATTTCAGCATAGCAAAATAAATAATCAACAGAATGAACAGAAAACCTGCAGAATAGGAGAAAATATTTGCAAATTTTGTATCTGATAAGGAACTACCATTCAGAATTTATAAGGAACTCAAGGAATTCAACCAAAACCCCCTAGTAATCATGTTAAAAACTGGACAAAGGAGATCAGTAGACATTTTTCAAAAGAAGACACCCAAAAGGACAAGAGGCATATGAAAAAATGCTAATCACTAATCACCAGAGAAATGCAAATTAAAATTACAATGAGATATGCCTTATTCCAGTCAGAATGACAAAAAAAAAAAAAAAGAGAAAAAAATTACCACAGTGAGATATGTCTTACTCCAGTCAGAATGGGAAGAAAAAAAAAGAGAGAAAATAACATGTTGGCAAGGGTGTGGAGAAAAGGGAACTCTTATACACTGTTGCTGGGAATGTACATTTGTACAACCTCTATGGAAAACATAAAGATTCCTCAGAGACCTAAAAGTAGAACTACCATTTGATCCAGCATTTCCACTATGGGGTATCTACCTGAAGGAAAAGAAATCACTGTATCAAAAAGATACCTCCACCTGTATGTTTATTGCAGCATTCTTCACAAAAGCAAAGACATGGAATCAACCTAAGTGTCCATCAATAGATGACTGGATAAAGAAGATGTGGTATACATACCCAATGGACTACTACTCCGCCATAAAAACAAATGAAATTATGTCTTTGGTAGCAACATGGATGGAGGTAATTATCTTAAGTGAAACAAATCAGCCATAGAAAGACAAATACCACATGTTCTCACTTATAAGTGGGAGCTATATAATGTATACACATGGACGTAGAATGTGGAATGACAGACAATGGAGACTTGGAAGGGTGAGCCATTGGTGGGGTAGATGCTGAGAAATTATTTAAGGGTACAATGTATGTTATTAAGGTGGTGGATACCCTAAAAGCTCTGAGTTCACCACTATGCAATGTATGCATGTAGCAAAATTGTAATTGTACCCCATAATTTATAAAAATCAAACGAACAAACAAAAAACTGAAAGTAAATAAAAAGCACACTGACCGCTGGTGGACTTTTACTCTTCTCAATGTATGTGAAAAGTTCATACAGAACCACTCCAAAGCTCCAAACATCTGAGGCCACAGAAAACTTGCTCTCTGTCAGTGATTCTGGAGCATACCTGTAATATATGAAGAACACTTAAAAGACAGTTAACTTGATATGTGGACTCTTGATTTTACCTGCAAATCATTGTATAAATAAATTTTTAAAAAGTGTAGAGAAAAGAGTTATCACAGCAGGCCTGAGGCTTCTATGATTAAAAGGGCCTTTTTGCCTGGCACCTGTGAGCTTAGATTTCAGGAGGGATTCCACAATTCCCTGAATAAGAGTGACTCACTATGCCTAGATTATTTGTGCAAATAATACGGTTTATACTAACATCTACTTTTCTTCTGGGAGTCTGTAAGTTTAGTATGTGCCAGGCAGAGAGTGCCTAATTTTGCTTTGTGTTATTTTCCTATAATGAATCATAACCATGAATATGGATATATGCTGAGTCCTGTGAGTCTTCCTAGCAAATCATCAACCTGGGGGTGGTCTTGGGAACCTCTGATATAGAAAGATAACTAAAATCCAAAGAAATTTATTTTTGTCTCTATAGACAGCACCAAGGTTAACTACAGGGTACCTTCTAAGAAGTGAAAATAAGCTGCCCTTTGCAAGTTAAGCTTTAAATGAATCCATATAAATATCCTGCAGAAAAAAAAAATGGTTCCAAGGCAAGACTTAAAGCTGTAAAAGAAAAAACCTGTTAATCAGAAGAGGGGGTGACTATGAGAAGGAATACAGAAAGTGAAAAGTCACAGAAATGGTGCCATTGTTCACTCAAGCATTAACACTATCCAAGGGAAAGTTTTGGCCCAGTGGACTGGGAGTATCATGGTTCCATTGCTAAGTTTATCTTTATTATAGACACAGCTACAGAGATGTGTTTTGGACTGATGAGATTAAAAATGTGAATTACATAGGTTTAATCTCTCCTTCAAAATACCATTTAAGTTTCCTTATTTCCACAAATCCTTCACTGCCTACTCCAGGTCTTATTGCCCTCAGGCCATAGGTTTCCTATAGTACTGGCAGTCCACACTACATAATTAAACACCCTGATGCTATATTCTTTTTATATTTAGTCTTTACAAATTTTACATATCTAGTTATGTTAGTATCAAATGTATGTTAATTTTATCCGACAAGGGGAAAGTAATGTTCTTGAAGACAGCACTATTCCCTCACTCCTTGTAAAATATGCTTTTCCTCTGGTTTTCATATAGCACTCATTGTAATTTCCCGCACATTTCCACAGCTGTTTTTTTCTGTCTGTTCTATCACTTATGTAAGGGTAAATACAAATTTAAAAAGAAACAAAATTAATTCCCCCTGTTGAAAACAAGAAGAAAGACTCTTCTTTGTTCTTAGAGCATTCAGAAAACTTGTAAATTCTTTATCTTTTTGAAATGTATGTAAATCTTTTAAAAATCTCTTGCTTCAAAGCCTCTTGCCAGCTTTATGGCATGAATGACCCATGAATGTCTTTCTCAAGAACCTGTAACCATCTCTTGGGAATACAGTCATCAAGGAAGATAGCGCCCTTTATCCCAGTTTCTGTGGGAGCGTAGAAGCCTCACTTCAGCAGGAGCCTCCTTCCAAGCTGCAAAACTATCTCCTGTCATGAAGATATGAAAAGTGTTTTTTTACCTTTATATAAAACCAATTAGCAAAGTCACTCCAATTAGCAAGTGAATTTAGAATAAATTACGTATGCGACAAATAGTGCTGTCAAGTCTTACTTGAGGACTAGTTAATGTTTATCCTAAGAACTTCAATGAAAGGGATTGTTATATCAGGTTGGCTATATAAAAGGGTAAGATTTCCTTCTGTCTTGCAATCTCTTAGGGGACTACTTGTGATACACATCACATCCTGCTCTAATGCTTACTCAATCATAAAATTGTTTTCCTTCTCTTCTATCTTTGTGGAAAGGTTTCCTGGGTTGGGAGATATTGTTTTCCATTATACTTTTCCAACACTACTCTTTTCTGCCTCTTCTAAATTGAAGGTTTCCCAAGGTCTCATCATCAGATTTATTCCTCTCTTGGTTAAAAGCTTTCCCTTAGATAGTATCATCCACCTGTATACTAAAGTCTCCCAAATTTATAACCATATCTTTGAACTTTCTTTAGTGCTCCAGACTTTCAGAACATTTCCACATTAAAGATCTATAGGCAAACAGAATTCCAACCTGTTTCCAAAACTTGATTACTTTATGTTTCTTATGCAGTGAATAGCATCACAATCTATTTAACTGCTCAAGCTGAAAATCTTAATTATTTTTGACTCATCTTTCACTCCAGTGTCTAATGACCCACCAAGTCCCTTTAGAGTATAGCTTAGAAATATCTCAAATCAGTCTCCTAACCCATTGTTACAGTTTAGGTCACATCCTTATCTCATGACTAGTACAGAGGTCGTCAAACAAGGTGAAGAATAATGTACGAAGATCATCCGATGGGTACTTCTGTAGTAAAAAGAGTATAAGGATCCTCTAGGAGTCCAAAATCCTGTTTCACCAATTTTTTAAAACATTTAAGCAGAGGCACTGTTTTCCCCTAGTTATTAGCATCAACCCCTAGGACATGCCATAACATATTGTTAGCTTAAAACAAAAGAGCATTTTTGAACAAGAAAAACAATATAGATAACAAAGTTTCTTTTAAATGAAATTGAGTTTTTAAAAAAATGATATGATGGGCCAAATCCTGTGAATAAAAATTATGTGAGTTCTTTCAGACTTCAGATTTAGTGTTTGCTATATGTCTCCTCCAAAATTCAGGGTGTCAATGTGATGGTATTAACAGGTGGGGCCTTTAAGAGATGATTAGGCCATGATCTCCCTCATGAATAAGATGAAGGCCCTTTTGAGAGGCTTCATGCAGCATTTGGCCCCTCTTGCCCTTCCACTTTTGTCCATGTGAGGACGTGTCGTTCCTCCTCTCTGAAGGATGCAGCAGCAAGGCTCAATCTTGGAAAGCAGAGAGCAGCTCTCACCAGACGCCTGAACCTGCCAGCACCTTTTTCATGGACTCCTAACCTCTAGAAGTGTGAGAAATAAATTTCTGTTCTTTATAAATTATCCATTGTCAGGTATTCTGTTATAGCAGCATAAAAGCAGTAAGACAGTGTTCATTATTCACTAAGTTAGCTAAAACCTATTTTATCAACTCATATTCCAAAATATTTACACAAAATTTAATGAACTTCATTGCATTGTATAAAATATTTATTCTACTTGCAAATATAAAAATAAAACTATATGCTAATTGCCTGATTTGATTTTAGCAGTATATATTTTTTGTTTTCATTAAATACATAGGAAAATTTTGATCATGATGAAAAATAAGTTATTTCTGATTTTCATATAAGTTGCTTCTAATTATTCCCCAAAGTCATACATCAGTATTCACTTCCTACCTTCCCCTAACACATTTACTGAAGGAATAACCATGTCTTTTACCACATACCCTACACTTCATAAGTTATAATCTTAGTCATATTTTACTCTGTATTATTTATTGCAAATTAAGTAATGAGAAATTATCTTTTCATAATATGAAATTAATTATGCCAGATATGTATCATCTTAAGCTTATCCTGACTGCTCTCATGATTTTTTCACATGTATAGGCAGAGATACAGGTCCCAAAGCTTATATAATTTGAAGTCTTTTTTTTTCAGGCTTTCATTATGACAAATAATACAAAATTATACATGAAAGTACATAATTTTCTATGTAAAATTAGAAAGGAACCTTGGAAGGAAGGAGCTCTGGATATGCTTCATTGGCTTCATAATAAACATACCTCCATGCATTTGTTCTGTCGTTTCTCAGGTTTTAAATCACATATTATTAATATAGTCAGTGACTTGAAAAATGAAGTCCGAGTTTTCCTGCCAGAAATTAAGTGTCATTTGTTTGATGCCTGGCATTACCAAATGGGTTGTATGAAGGACATTCTTCACAAAATCTACTCAACCTTTGAGGTAGCTCAGAGGTTTGCTATGTTTAAATCATATATTTAAAACATAAAATGCTAATAATAATGTATTAATAATATTCTATTTTTCCAAACTTTTCTGAATGTATTAGTTTAAACAAGATACCTCCACGTGAAAGTGTAACATATAGTTGGAATTAATTTTAAAAACTTTTTGGTACACTTTTCATAAATTGAGAAAACAGATGAACCTGATGACTGGTTAGTAAACTCATTTTTGAAAGTCAAGTGGTTTTAATTCTCTGCTTTTAATAAAATTGAAAAATAATGGATCTGATTGAATGAAACTGCCAAATAACATAATTTTAATGGTATATTACTATACTTTTTTCCTACATATCTCAGAAGGAGTCAGAGAAATGAATGATACTGTTATAACAAAACTCCTTCCATTCATGTCCACTTATTTACACAAACAAGTTTTCTCAGTGTTGACATCTGTAAAGTGCAAAATGAATACAGAATTTATGCTTAATCTTGTCCCATTGTAGAAATAAATAATATTCACCCAAGGATATACAAACCAATTGGAGGGGAGGGATTGCTCTATTCACCAATAAAATTTTTAAAGCAATTATCCAAATGTGTTATTTATATTGCTTTGGAAAACTGTATCCTAGTAACTTCAATGATAACCCAGAAGAAAAATGTGAATAGTTACAAGTTTGTTGGTCACAGGAAACAAAGAAAATAGGTGATCATAAGATTATCCAAATACAAAATGTAACACATTATGCAAAATTTGGAATGAGAAGGGAAATGGAAATACAATTTTAAAGAGAAAAAGGAATGATACAAAGTTTGTAAAAAAAAAAAAGAAAAAAGTCTGTTCATATATATTTTTAAGTGGGTGATAAGTGGGTATCAAATTGATGCACAATTTATTTTGAGATGGAGTCTTTCTCTATCGCCCAGGCTAGAGTGCAGTGGCGAGGTCTCGGCTCACTGCGAGCACCATTTAGATTCAGTTGGACACATTTAAAAGATTGACATAGCTGCTATTTAAATGTCAATATTTAAAATACATTATAACTACTTAAACTTAAAAAAAATTAGCTATCAATTT